CCCCAAATCCTACACCCTTTGGAGGGGGAAGGTGAGTTGAGTGTGGAGCTAGAGCAGAGTGGGAGTGAGGACTGGAGTTAGTGGAGACTCTTTAACACAGACTGGGAGTTGTATATTGCTGTGCCAGTGAAAGAGAAGGAAAGATGTGGGGGGATTCTGATGGTATAAATAGTATCGTACCCTGCATGTTCCTCTCTGACCACCTGTGTGTCTGCTTCTCCCACAATTCTCTCTCACTGTGTTCCCTGCCATGCTGGATGACAGCTGATCTGTCTGTAAAACTGCTCTCTTCAAGACTGCTTCTGATGCAGCATTTATATGAAAACTTAACTAATGATAACTAAGGCCATGTGTACATGTACAGCGGTGCAGTGGTAGTGATGCAGCTGCGCTGCTGCAGCACATCTGGTGAAGACGCTCTATTCTGATGGGAGAGAGCTCTTCCGTCAGCATAAAAAAAACACTCTTGCAAGCAGAGACGCTATGTGGACAGGAGAGAAGCTCTCCTCCCACTATAGTGTTGTGCACACTAGTGCTTATGTCAGTGTAGCTTGTGTTGCTCGGGGTGAAATATTCACACCCGAGTGACAAATTTTGCCAACATAGGCAGTAGCGTAGACATAGCCTAAAGCGAGGGGCAGCAGAGGATAGATAGCTGTTTACTGATTTATAGATATACATTTTAAAAGCAAATGTATTTACAAAGTGGATATATTTGAATGTCTCTCTCCCTCACTCATCATTTATCTTTTTAGGCCCTGATCCTACCAAGGCTTACACATGTGCTTAATTTTTGTTAAAGTGACGCATGCATGTAAATCTTTGCAGGCTGATAAATTTCTTGGGGCAGGAACCTATTTATGTCTGTGCTTATACAGCCCCTAGCACAGTGGAGCTTTGAGTCTGATTCAAATATTTAGGTATGTTTGTAATGTTATTATTACATAAAAATAATAACTAACATATTTCCCTCCTTTAGGTTCTCAATTGTTTTTGCACATCACAGATCCACAGAGGATATCCTCAAATATAACTGGAGATCTGGTACTTGTAGTTAAGGAATACAGTTGTTCCCTATCTATATAATTAGATATTAAATTATATAATAAATATGTGTAAATGGAGGTACAGTGAGAATCTGTTAAAATCCTTTAAATGCTACAATCCTTGTAGTACATTTGTGGCTATAATGTGTAAGGTGTTTCCAGTGTTGCAGTGAAACATCCTACAGTCCCTCATTGGGCCAATGTGTCTTTGAGAAGGGATGTATATTTGGCAAAGTTCTTTGGCACTCAAACCAGTAACCTTAAAGTGGAACTACAAATGTTTTATAAAATAATTTGGTTGCTAAATCAATAATAAAACATGTAGACTCAAAACTGCAAATAAAAGGGCAAGTTATTATAATCTATTAATAAATAAATTTACAATTTAAGGTACCACTCTTGCAAAGACTTAAACGTCTATAACTTTTTGCACATGAGTAGTAAACATTCTAAAACCCATTGAAGTCAATGGGAGTCTCTTCACTGACTTGCTTTAGATCAGGCTTCAAATGTGCAACTTGGCAGCATGGGCTACATAAGGTTTGAAAATAGTTTTTTAAATCTTAAATTTGGGTTTCTGTGTCTTTCCTGTGATGAGTCACAATACCATCACATTTGGGGGGGAGGGATAGCTCAGTGGTTTGAGCATTGGCCTGCTAAACCCGGGGTTGTGAGTTCAATCCTTAAGGGGGCCACTTAGGGATCGGGGGCAAAATCAGTACTTTGTCCTGCTAGTGAAGGCAGGGGGCTGGACTCAATGACCTTTCAGGGTCCCTTCCAGTTCTATGAGATAGGTATATCTCCATATACAAAAACCATAAACGTTATAGGGGGTGATACCTGGTGGATTTGATTTAAATCACTAATCAGGAAGACTCGATTTAATCATGGATTTCTACATTAAAGTGCATTCTTGTTGGTTGTTATAACCTTAATACATATTCTTCACAACTCAGAGATAGATGTAGGTTTCATTTTTAAAAAGTACACACTATACATTTTTAAGTGATTTATTTCAAAAACTTTTCAGGTGAGTTTTACAGCTATATCAGAAAAGGAATGATTGTTTGGTTATTTCATTTACCAAAGGTAATTGAAGCAGATATTTATGAAGTCATTGGGAGGCGAACTATCTCCAGTTCAACAGGTTAATCATTAATAATTGGAGGATTTTCTTGCCCGTCTGTATTAGGAGAAGAACATCACCAGACAGACATTTAAATTTAAAGCAACAATGTTATGTATTCTGGATTTTTTTTCAACAGCAAACATAATATTTTAACAAAACAAGCATATGAATTTAGTTAAACATTCAAGTTTTTTAAAATCAGATTTGTTTTTGTTAAAATTGCTTTAACTAAAATAGTTAAATGAAATATTTGTTTTTAAAAAACAAAAATTAAATCGACTGTCAGCCAGGTCAACATGAGAAACTTAAAATATTGGCTTCTGCAGCTAACTCAGTCGTCTTCACCTTCATTTTCCTGTTTCTTCATAATCTAGAAAAGAAAAACAAGCTTTCCTGCTTTTTCAGGTCCCAAACGATTTCTCAGTTTGGAATGAATTAGTCCAAAGGAAGAAAATATTCTTTCTACACCAGCAGAAGAAGCTACTGCTGTTAAAAGTTAGATTATCACTTCAACAGTCTCTGAATCCAAGTACTTAAGTGACTTTCACCAGTTCACTGGTGTGACTTTCTTTAAAACATCATCAGCAAACATATATTTCTTGAATGGTTCACCCTTAGCTCTGAAATTTATTATAGCTGGCATTATGGAGGGATGATTGCTGGATGTCCATGTCATAGCCAACTCCTTTTCTTCAGCAGTTGAGGTTTGACCCTAGTACTGAGTATTGAGAATATTTGCAAGAAAATGAGCTGGAGATAGTGCTTGTCCCATTCGTTTTTTTAATGCTTGTAGTTTAACTCTGTCATTGCATATTTCTCTTTTTAAGATTTCACTCAATTCTTTCCAAATTTCAACAGCGTCAGCAATAAAACAGCTATTTCCCTGCATTTTGTTCAAGGGTACAGAAATAGGCTTCAAGGTACTCAGCATGTGTTCAACATTTCTCTTAAGCCCAATGTTGAGAACTTTGGCTGTGACAGTGCCATCTATTTTTTCACTATTTTGTTCACAAACTGTCATCAGATTAGGCCAGTTCTTGATATAGTGCTCAAAACAGTCCACTACTGAGTTCCATCACACGTCTTGTGGGAGAGGTAGCGTGGTTCCTCCCACTTTTTTCAGAGCAGCTGCTGCAAAGTGGTTGTTACGGAAGTAGTTTGCAATTTCAACAACATTAGCCTTTATTTCTGGAACACTGAAGTCTTTGGCTAGGAGGTGCATCAAATGAGCACTGCAACCGTATGTTATTAGCTTGGGACTCTCTTCTAAATAATTTCTTCTCATCTTGGATACATTTGCAGCATTGTCTGTGACCAAGCTGCATACTAGACATTTGAATTTTTTTTCACGGTTTGTTATAGCTTTTACTGCTACTTCTTGTAAGTATTCTGCTGTGTGTGCATTTCCTGATGTATCAATTGTTTCTGTAAGTAAGATATTCCCTTCTTCTGTTGTCACACAAGCACATACAACAGGATCATTGTGGACATTGCTCCACCTATCAAGACTCAGGTTAACAATTTCATCCTCTAGACCTTTTGCACATTGCTCAATTTCTCTTTCATACACTTTATCCAGCAATTTGCCTGCGACATCTGCTCTGTTGGGTGGACTGTATCCTGGTCTTAATGACTGAACCATGTTAATGAAGTGTGGGTTCTCAATCATATGGAAAAGAGAGTTTGTTGCATAAACAAACCAGGCATTTTTTTCATCAGTTACCTCTTTTTGTAATCTGCTGGTTCTTATCACAAACTTATCTATGGTTGTTTTTGGATGATGGAGATTTTTTTCCTTTTTGCTACAGGTGATATACTGTGGCTATGTGACATATATGATGTGACTGAAACACTATCATTGGCAGATAACTCTGAAACTATAGAAAATGATGGTGATCTTGAAGGTGGATAGTCTTCAGAATCCTGTATGTTGAGGATGGATTCTCCTAAACAAAATAAGTCAATGCAATTATTTAATTATTATTACCATATTGCTCATTTAATATTACTCATTGCATTCCCTGACACTCAGTACTACTTTAAAGGTGAAATTGTAAAAGGAAGATCTGCCTATTTCAGCTATTTATTTTTTATCACAACTGCATCTAAAATGATAGTACCATAGAGTTACAACTATATTTTTTGCTCAAACATGAGAATTCAAGAATAGTCCAGAAGGAAGACAGGCAATCCTTAAGAAAGAAGTATGAAATAAAAAAGTCTTCAGTCACAACCTGAAGATCCTGCATGTTCAGACATGTTCCTTTCATCATCTTCAACGCGGCTTCCTCCTGAGAAGGAATACTTCTTCGAGTGATTGTTCATGTCCATTCCAAGCAGGTGTGTGCGCGCTGCGTGCACGCCAGCCGGAAGATTTTACTATAGCAGCGTCCATAGGGTCGGCTTCGGCGCCCCCTGGAGTGGCGCCTTCATGGCGCTGTATATAGGGGCCAGCCGACCCTCCACCCCCTCAGTTCCTTCTTACTGCCGGTGACGGCTAGCTGGAACTTCGCTTGCTCTTCCGCAATCGTAGCAGTGTTCCGTCGTTGTTGTAAATAGTTAGTTAGTTTGTTGTTTAAGTGTTAGCTTAGTTAGTTATTACTTGGGGGGTTTTCCCCAAGTTTTCGTCGCCCCGCTGGGGCATGCCCGGGTCCCCAGGGTTCAAACTCTGCCGGGATTGCGGGAAATTCATGCCGAAGAGTGACCCGCACTGTTCGTGCTTGAGGTGCCTAGGCGAGAGCCACCAAAAAGACAGGTGCAGTATCTGCAGGGCTTTTCGCCCCAGGACTCTCAAAGATAGAGAGCAGAGACTTAAAGTCCTCCTAATGGAGGCGGCCCTGCGGCCGCAATCAGATCCCGGGCCTACTGAGACGGCACCGAGCACTTCATCCTCGGTGCGCAGTGCTCCAGCACCGGAGATGAGTTGTGAGGCCAAGGCCACCAAACCCCGGCACCGGAGAGAGTCGGCGCACAAGAAACCATCCTCCATGAGACACCGTTCCCCATTGCCAGTGCCGGTTAAAAAGAACAGGCCGGAGAGGGATCGTTCTCCACACCGGGACTCTAAAGGGCCGGCGCCGTCCACGTCTACTACAGGACAATTCGCGCCACAGACCCATCCGGATCACCTCGGACGCTTGGGTGCTTCGCACGGTAAAGGAGGGATATTCTATCCAGTTTTCCTCCCTCCTGCCCCACCAGCCCCTCTCCCCGTCCCTCTTCAGGGACCCCTTTCACGAGCAACTTCTACTTCAAGAAGTTCAGTCCCTCCTCGCATCAGGGGCAGTAGAGGAGGTTCCTCAGGAGCTACGGGGCAAGGGCTTCTATTCTCGATATTTCCTAATACCGAAAGCGAAAGGGGGCCTCAGACCCATTCTGGACTTGCGCGGTCTCAACAAGTTTGCGAAGAAGCTCAAGTTCCGCATGCTCTCCCTGTCCTTCATCATTCCTTCCATGGATCCAGGAGACTGGTATGCCGCCCTCGACTTAAAGGACGCATACTTTCATATTGCGATAATCCCTCCGTACAGGAGTTACCTCGGGTTTCTCGTGGGCAACGCTCATCTACAATTTACGGTTCTGCCCTTTGGTCTGTCAGCAGCCCCAAGGGTCTTCACGAAGTGCATGGCAGTCGTGGCTGCCTTCCTACGCAGGCATGGGATCCAGGTGTTTCCCTACCTGGACGATTGGCTCATCAAGGGCAGGTCCAGGGGGCAAGTGGAGGCTCAGGTGGTCTTTGCCAGGTAAACCTTCCTCACGCTCGGCCTCTTACTCAACGAGGCCAAGTCCACACTATCTCCAACCCAAAAAAATCGAATTCATAGGAGCGGTTCTGGACTCGACACACGCCAGAGCATATCTCCCAGAGGCCAGATTCCGGACTATATCCAACATTATCCTCGGCCTCCAACGTTATCCCACCACCACAGCAAGAAGCTGCCTCAAATTTCTAGGGCACATGGCAGCATGTATCTACGTGGTGAGACACACCAGACTCAGGCTGCGCCCACTCCAGTCTCGATTGGCACGGGTTTATCGGCCAGTCAGGGACTCCCTAGAATCGGTGGTGACGTTACCTCGGCCGGTGCTGGACTCCCTTCAATGGTGGCTCGACCCGTGGGTGGTCTGCGCAGGAGTTCCTTTCCTCGACCCTGAGCCCTCCCTCTCCCTGGTAACGGATGCATCGGATCGGGGATGGGGTGCGCATCTGGGCGACCTCAGAATCCAAGGCCTTTGGTCACGAGAGGATCTTTCGCTCCACATCAATGTCAGGGAATTACGAGCTGTGCGCCTCGCATGCATAGCCTTCAAATCCCAGCTGGCAGGCAGGTGCGTTTCTGTCCTCACGGACAATACTCCAACGATGTTCTATATCAACAAACAGGGTGGTGCTCGCTCCTCTCCCCTTTGCCGGGAGGCCCTCGCATTATGGGACTTTTGCGTACAGCACGTAATTCACCTGACAGCATCCTACCTCCCGGCGGCGCACAACGGGCTCGCAGGCGCACTCAGCTGCTCGTTCCAGGGTCACGAGTGGTCTATCCGCTGGGATATAGTTCTCTCAATTTTCCGGCTCTGGGGTCATCCCCAGGTGGACCTGTTTGCCTCCACCGAGAACAGGAAGTGTCACCAATTCTGCTCCCTCGGGGGACGCAGTCCGGGGTCCCTAACAGACGCCTTTCTCCTCTCTTGGACAGACGGGCTATTTTACGCCTTTCCCCCGATTCCAATGATTCACAGAGTAATCCTCAAGGCCCGCAGAGATCACGCTCGGCTCATCCTGATAGCGCCGGCGTGGCCACGCCAGCACTGGTACACGTCTCTCCTGCACATGTCTATGCGGGTGCCGCTCAGGTTGCCCCTACTCCCGGACTTGATCACACAGGATCGTGGTCGCCTGCTTCACCCGAACCTGGAGTCGCTCCACCTTACAGCCTGGATGCTCCATGGCTAAACCCGGTGGAGTTGCAATGCTCTCATCAGGTCAGGCAGGTCCTTCTGAGTAGCAGGAAGCCCTCTACAAGGACCACGTACTTGGCCAAGTGGAAGCGCTTCTCCCTCTGGGCCACACAACGGGGCCAGGCTCCCTCGCTCACCCCGGTCCCCCTCATATTGGACTATTTGCTGCATCTGAGACACCTGGGCTGACTCTCTCGTCGGTTCGAGTACACCTTGCTGCAATCTCGGCGTTCCACCCGGGAGAGGGTGGTACCTCAGTGTTTGCGAACCCATTCGTTACGCGGTTCCTTAAGGGCCTTGACAGACTGTTCCCACACATCCGTCAACCTGTCCCTGCTTGGGACCTCAATTTGGTCCTGTCCGTCCTCACAGGGCCCCCCTTTGAGCCGCTGTCTTCGTGCTCGCTGTTATATCTTTCATATAAGGTCGCGTTCTTGGTGGCTGTCACATCAGCCCGGAGGGTGTCAGAACTCAGAGCTCTAACATTTGAACCCCCGTACACCGTCTTCCACAAGGACAAGGTCCAACTCAGGCCGCACCCAGCGTTCCTGCCTAAGGTGGTTTCCCCATTTCACATGGGTCAAGACATTTTTCTCCCGGTCTTTTATCCGAAACCACACTCCTCTGCAAGGGAGCGTAGGCTGCATTCCCTCGACGTTCGCAGGGCTCTCACATTCTATATCGAAAGGACAAGATCCTTCAGGAAGTCAACCCAACTTTTTGTTGCTGTGGCCGACAGGATAAAAGGGCTCCTGGTCACATCACAGCGAATTTCGGCTTGGATCAGAACCTGCATCCGGGAGTGCTACAGTCGGGCCAATATACCAGCCCCGCCTATCACGGTCCACTCCACAAGAGCGCAGGCCTCTTCCGCTGCGTTCCTGGCCCAGGTCCCGACGCAGGAAATTTGTAGAGCGGCCACCTGGTCCTCAATCCACACCAGGCCAGAGATGCTGCTGCCTTTGGCCGCGCAGTCCTCCAGTCTGCAGTAACCTCCGACCCCACCGCCTAGATTCGGGCTTGTGAGTCACCTGCTTGGAATGGACATGAACAATACCCACCCTCCTACCCCTCTGTCGGAGTATCGGCAAGAAGGAACTGAGGGGGTGGAGGGTCGGCTGGCCCCTATATACAGCGCCATGAAGGCGCCACTCCAGGGGGCGCCGAAGCCGACCCTATGGACGCTGCTATAGTAAAATCTTCCGGCTGGCATGCACGCGGCGCGCACACACCTGCTTGGAATGGACATGAACAACACATCTCAAAGAACAACAGTTACGAGAAGGTGAGTAACCGTTTTTTCTCATGCTGTTGTTTCATTCGGGCAACCAGGCCTTGCATTTCTTTGTTGCACTGTTTGCATTTTGCACGCATGCCTGTCTTACCCACAGGTAGAGGAACGTCATTAAAATATTCCCAAACTGGGTCTCTTATAGGTTATAGGTTTTCCCTTCTAGTGAGAGAATGATATGGTAGATCTCAAATCAATGAAGGCTACACTCAGAAAGACCTCAAGACTTCTGGAATATGCTGCTCAAACAGTTTCACTTTTGTTTCTACTGCCTGTCCCTCCCATTTCACATTTATCTCCAGACTTCTTCTCCTTGTCCAGATCTATTCCGCCCCCAACAATCTTCTATTCATTGAACTTTTAGAAACTTTGCACTTTTAGAGAGAGGTAAGGGATTGACACTGTGTACACAAATTTGCAGAGGGACAATAGGGTTGAGGTCTGTTATTTCTTACCTCTATATATTATTTATTTATTTATTTAAAAACATTTTTGCTGTTAACAAACAAGTTATCTCTGGAGACACAAATCCACAGTTTGAGAACTGCAAAAATAAGCATCTCTGATGCTATCTTCTAGACTGAGTACTGAGTCCCATTGGGTAGATAGAAAGATTAACCTAAATAATCTATACAGAAGCCCCTGGAACCCCATAAGATTGGGTCCCTAATTCATGAACTATTGGAACTCATTTACAAAACTCTTCTTAAACATTACATGAATATATTGTCTCATACTATAGAATTAGAATTTATAATCCCTATTCCATGATGAGATGTCTTTGAGCTATAATGTATCTTAATTAAAACTATCTTTAGATAGGTTTTTTCCTCAAAAAGCATTTTATCAAAAAAATCTGATTTAAATAAAAAAAATCCAATTTAAAAAAAATAAATCATTGATTTTTATCCACCCTGCCTGGAGGTCAGAGCAGGAGACAGGCTAGAACTCCCAGATTCTATTTCTGGCTCTAAATTCTCAGTGTATAGTCTGTTTTGGGGCAAGTCATGTCACCTCCATGCTTCAGTTTTTCTATTTGAATTTTTATAAACTGTTACGAGATCCTGGGATGAAAGGTTCTGTTAACATACATCATTTTATTAATAAGAATAGAGAGTGGCAATGAAAACTTATGTTTACATACATGTCTTGGAGATTAAGGGAGGGGCCTTAAATCATGTTATTCTTTAACAATAATCTTCAGTAATTCTCCCCTCAAATTAACAAGAGCATTCAAGTGTTGGTTCACAAAAGTAAGAAGTAGCATTTGATTCTAAAATTATGAATTCCTTTGTGTGACTTCAGAATGATGCTCTTCTGAATTAGGTGAAATGAGTTATTTCTACTTCCATCCTATTTGTCCACTGGATTAATGGCATGTGTCTGGGTTCTAGATTCATAGAATCAATCATAGAATCATAGAATATCAGGGTTGGAAAGGACCTCATGAGTTCATCTAGTCCAACCCCCAGCTCAAAGCAGGACCAATCCCCAACTAAATCATCCCAGCCAGGGCTTTGTCAAGCCTGACCTTAAAAACCTCTAAGGAAGGATTCCAGAGGTCTATAATATTTTCAGCAGATTCCCTCACCAGTTGAGGCTATGACGTTTCAGTTCCCATTTTATTCATTGCAACTTCCATCAGCTGGTCACAGTCACTATCACTGGCATTTTTTGCCTTTGCACACATCTAGATATCTTGAGATGGAATTGGCTATTAAATTATTTTTCCTGTGTGTTTGACATAAAACATAGACACACATCTTGAACACATGGAATAGTGTATGTCAGTCAAAGGGTGAGTGGTGGATGAGCCTTTTTAGGAAACCACAGACAATCATTCCACAGAGTATTGGAACGATACAGGGCAGTTGTTTTGGTAGCTGTCAAGAGATGTCAAAACTGCACTGATAACCATGTTACTGTCCATCCATTTCCCATTAAGAAACATTTATGGTGCATTTTTAATTTATGTTCATGTTTAATAAATGCAGAATTATGTGCTTTGCAAAATATTGTGTTACTGAATTCTGTCATTCTGGATGGTTTAGGACCAAGTGTCCTATGTCATTACAATAGAAGGGACACCGTATACTCTTCACCTGAAGCAACAGTAAGTGATTGACTTTGTTCCTAACCCTTTGGTTCTTATCTGTTATAAATCAGTCATGTGGCTCAAAAAAGGTTCTAATAAGCAGGGCCGGCTTTAGGAAGTGCGGGGCCCAATTCGAACAGTTTCGACGGGGCCCTGGCAGGGATGACTAAAAAGAAAAAAACACATAAAAAAACACGTGGGGCTTGTACTCACTGGGCGGCGCTCCTAGCCTTTGGCGGTGGGTTCTTCACTCGCTCCGGGTCTTTGGCGGCACTGAAGGACGTGCTGCTGAAGACCCGAAGTGAGTGAAGGACCCGCCGCCGAAGTGCCGCGGAAGACCTGGAGCGCCGCCGGGTGAGTAAAAATTAAAAAGGAGCCTCTAGCCAGGGAAGGGATTCTCGGCCACTTGCCCCCACCCCGGCAGCCCTGCCACTGGGCGCGGGGCCCTCTTAGGCGCGGGGCCCGATTCGGGGGAATTGGTGGAATTGGCCAAAAGCCGGCCCTGCTAATAAGGTTTATCAAATATTGGATAATTTGTCTTCAACTTCCCTTTCTTTTCCAATAATTGGTTATAATTTTCAGTCTGTAACAGTCCAAGCTGATACTTCTCTATCTTCTTTGCGGTAGCCTCAGTTATTCCTAGTATTGTGCACTGACAATAGGAGAATCTAAGGGTATGTCTACACTACGAGAGTAGTTCGATTTTACTTAAATCGAATTTGTGGAACCGATATTACAAAGTCGAACGTGTGTATCCACACTAAGGACAGTAATTCGACTTTGTGAGTCCACACTAATGGGGCAAGCGTCGACATTGGAAGCGGTGCACTATGGGCAGCTATCCCACAGTTCCCACAGTCCCCGTTGCCCATTGGAATTCTGGGTCGAGCCTCCAATGCCTGCTGGGGCAAAAAATGTGTCGAGGGTGGTTTTGGGTAACTGTCGTCATTCAACCGTCACTCCCGCCCTCCCTCCCTGAAAGCGCCGGCAGGCAATCAGTTCGCGCACTTTTCTGGTGAGTGACAGCGCGGACGCCACAGCACTGCGAGCATGGAGCCCGCTGTGACCATTGCTGCAGTTATGGCTGTTGTCAACACCTCGCACCTTATCATCCACCTTTTTCAGAGTCGGATGCTGAGAAATCGAGCGAGGAGGCTACGGCAGCGCGGTGAAGACATTAAGTCTGAGAGGGGCACAGACCTCTCACAAAGCATGGGACCCCGCGCTGTGAACATCATGGTGGCAATGGGTCATGTTGATGCTGTGGAATGGCGATTCTGGGCCTGGGAAACAAGCACGGACTGGTGGGACCGCATAGTGTTGCAGGTCTGGGATGAATCCCAGTGGCTGCGAAACTTTAGGATGCGTAAGGGAACTTTCCTGGAACTTTGTGAGTTGCTGTCCCCTGCCCTGAAGTGCAAGGACACCCGGATGCGAGCAGCCCTGACTGTCCAGAAGCGAGTGGCCATAGCCCTCTGGAAGCTTGCAACGCCAGACCGCTACCGGTCAGTCGTGAACCACTTTGGCGTGGGCAAATCTACCGTGGGGGTTGCTGTGATGCAAGTAGCCAACGCAATCGTTGAGCTACTGCTGTCAAAGGTAGTGACCCTTGGAAACGTGCAGGTCATCATAGATGGCTTCGCCGCGATGGGATTCCCAAACTGCGGTGGGGCTATAGATGGAACTCACATCCCTATCCTGGGACCGGACCACCAGGCCAGCCAGTACATTAACCGAAAGGGCTACTTTTCAATGGTGCTGCAAGCACTGGTGGACCATAGGGGACGTTTTACAAACATCAACGTCGGATGGCCGGGCAAGGTTCATGACGCTCGTGTTTTCAGGAACTCTGGTCTGTTTAGACGGCTGCAGGAAGGTATTTACTTCCCGGACCACAAAATAACTGTTGGGGATGTGGAGATGCCTATAGTGATCCTCGGGGACCCAGCCTACCTGCTAATGCCCTGGCTCACGAAGCCCTATACAGGCGCCCTGGACACTGAAAAAGAACTCTTCAACTACCGTCTGAGCAAGTGCAGAATGGTGGTGGAGTGTGCTTTTGGACGTCTCAAGGGGAGATGGAGAAGCTTACTGGCTCGCTCTGATCTCAGTGAAACCAATATCCCCATTGTTATAGCAGCTTGCTGTGTGCTCCACAATCTCTGTGAGAGCAAGGGGGAGACCTTTATGGCGGGGTGGGAGGTTGAGGCAAATAGCCTGGCTGCTGATTATGCCCAGCCTGACAGCCGTGCGATTAGAAGAGCCCAGCGGGACGCGCTGTGCATCCGGGAGGCTTTGAAAGCTAGGTTCCTCAGTGAGCAGAGTAACCTGTGACTATTAAGTTTGTTTAAAGAGAAGCTGAACCTGCCCCCGTTTCTTTACCCACTTAATGTTGACTATCCTCTGCAGTTACATACCCCGTTCACCCCGTTCCCCCCCTTCCAACACACGTTTAAAAAGAAAATAAATGGAACTTTTGTTAATTAACACTGTTTTCTTTATTACGGATTTCGCGGTAAAGTGTTGAAACTGGGACGCAGACTGTGGTGGGGAGCGGGTGTAGTGATGGAAAGGATGCTTCTAAACTCGAGGAATGACAGGCTCCTGCTCCTAGAGCGGTCCGCAGTGGTGGACTGGTTGTTTCAACGGGGCCTGCCACCCCTCCTTTTCGGGACTCTGTGTGTGGGGGCTATGTGACTTTGTGGCGGGGGGGGACGGTTACAGATCCCCTGCTGCGTGGCTCTGTGATCCAGGCTAAGGACCGCTGCATAAGATCTCTAACCACCCTCCCCCTGCCACAAAGTCACATAGCCCCCCCCCCACCCTCCCAGAACATGAAAACCACCTCCCAGACTGACCAGGGTGCCTAGTGACTGCAATGTGTGTGTGACCTTCTGCTGAACCTGCCCCCGTGTCTGTACCCTGGTAAAGGTGACTGTCCTCTCCAATTACCAACCCCCTTCCCCCCCTTCAAACACACTCTCCTCTAAAAGAACATGACGGAAACAGTAATTAACAGAAACATATTTTTTATTAGCAACTACACAGTTAGGGGATGAAACTGGGACGGGGGCTTGGGTGAGGCGGGAAGGAAAGGACTTATCAAATTTTTGGGAATGAGAGCCTTTTGGTACTTGAGCAATCTGCAGGGGTGGAGTGACAGTTTTCACGGCCCCTGCCGCCCCTCCTTCTTGGGACTTTGGGTGAGGGGAGTATGGGACTTTGTGGCAGGGGAGGGCGGTTAGAGAGAGACTGCAGCGGGGCTCTGTCCTCCTGCCTCCGGCCCTGCAGAACATCCAGAAGGCGCCGGAGCGTGTCCGTTTGCTCCCTCATTAGTGCAAGCAGCGTTTGAGTCGCCTGCTGGTCTTCCTGCCGCCACCTCTCCTCCCGTTGGCTGTGTGCTCGCTGGTATTGCGACATGTTCTCCCTCCACTGGGTCTGCTGGGCCGCCTCGACTCGGGAGCAACCCATAAGTTCTGAGAACATGTCGTCCTGTGTCCTTTTCTTTCTCCGTCTAATCTGCGCCAACCTCTGGGAGGGGGATGCCGGGGTAGGTCGGGAGACATTCGCAGCTGTGGGATGGGAAAAAGGGAGTGAATTCCTCACAAAGATACATTTTTGTGAACAATGAACATAGTCTTTCTCTGTGAAGAAGACCATGCACAGCACCTATTACATGCGCACTCAGGACAAGGTCGAATTTTCGGCCTTCGCATTCAGTGCCTGAGGTCTTGCAGTGGAGATCAGACAAGCGGGGCAGGACAGCGGAGTTCAGGTAGCAGGCTGACATGGTAAGCCGTAGACTTTTGGCTGCTTAAAACTTAATTTATAGCAGTGCCCTCCTTTCACGTTCAAAGCAATGCTCCTAGCGTTGGCCAGTTCCTGCTGCCGGCAATCCGGCAAGCATGAACTCTGCCCCTGTCCCACCCCCTCGTGGCTGTCCCCGGGAAAGATCCCTGTATGCTGCCCCTCTCCCGCCTCCACCACGTGGCTGTAAACCGCCGGTTACAGTTATGTAAAGGAACAGGCAAGCAGTCCCAATACTAACATTGCCCTAATTCAAAGCAGGTCACCATGAGCGACATCACTCTGATGAGGATTTCTGACACAGAGAAAGACCGCATGCTGCGTGAAAGCCAGCAAAAACCAGGGCCGTATGCCGCCATGCTCTGCGAGGCAATGATCCCAGAGTACTTGATGATAGCCTGGTGCGGAAAAGTTTCCTACCACGGAGGACGCAATAAGGCCGCTCTCCCCAGGAACCTCATGCAAAGGCTTTCCAATTACCTCCAGGAGAGCTTCGTGGAGATGTCCCATGAGGATTTCAGCTCTATCCCCGGACATATAGACCTTATTTTCCAGTAGCTGCACTGCCAAGGACTAAAACGTTAAGCGCCTAGGGCAAACTAATCATGAAAAACCCATTGTTAATATTCCTGTTCTGTTCAAAATAAATGTTTACATGTTTAACACTTACCGACTGATCCTTCCCCTGATTCAGGGTCTGGGTTAATGCCTGGGGAGGGTTGGTAGGGGATCTCCGTCAGGGTGATGAAGAGATCCTGGCTTTCGGGGAAATCAGCGTTGTAAGCGCTGTCGACTGCTTCGTCCTCCTCATCTCCTTCCTCATCTTCCCCGTCCGCTAACATCTCCGAGGAAGCGGCCATCGACAATATCCCATCCTCAGAGTCCACGGTCAGTGGTGGGGTAGTGGTGGCGGCCGCACCTAGAATGGAATGCAGTGCCTCGTAGAAACGGCATGTCTGGGGATGGGATCCGGAGCGTCCGTTTGCCGCTTTGGTCTTCTGGTAGCCTTGTCTCAGGTCCTTGATTTTCACGCGGCACTGCGTTGCATCCCGGCTGTATCCTCTCTCTGTCATGACTTTTGAGATCTTCTCATAGATCTTCGCATTCCGTTTCTTGGAGCCCAGCTCCGAAAGCACGGACTCATCGCCCCACACAGCGATCAGATCCAAGACTTCCCGATCAGTCCATGCTGGGGCCCTCTTTCTATTCTGAGATTGCATGGTCACCTCTGCTGGAGAGCTCTGCATCGTTGCCAGTGCTGCTGAGCTCGCCACGATGTCCAAACAGGAAATGAGATTCAAACTGGCCAGACAGGAAAAGGAATTCAAATTTTCCCGGGGCTTTTCCTGTGTGGCTGGTCAGAGCATCCGAGCTCGGACTGCTGTCCAGAGCGTCAACAGAGTGGTACACTGTGGGATAGCTCCCGGAGCTATTAGCGTCGAATTCCATCCACACCTACCCTAATTCGACATGGCCATGTCGAATTTAGCGCTACTCCCCTCGTCGGGGAGGAGTACAGAAATCGAATTAAAGAGACCTCTATGTCGAACTAAATAGCTTCGTTGTGTGGACGGGTGCAGGGTTAATTCGATTTCACGCTGCTAAATTCGACATAACCTCCTAGTGTAGACCAGGCCTAAGATTCTCTAATAGGAAGTATTTTCAGAGATCCATGTATTCTTCAGTTTCAAGACTTAAGCAGAAGTTTGAGAAGCTGACTGGCAAACAGGAAAAGAACTTGGAATCCTCAGAAGGGTTTGTAGATATGCTGCACATAACTGTCACCCCATCTAACTCAGCAATTTTCCAGTCTGAAAAAAGCGATAAAACATTAAATTGTAACTCAAGAAACAAAAGTAAGGGATGATGCAAATCATTGCACCATGTTGAAAATAGTGTGAGTGCTTTTTAAACTTGCAGGAATGTGAAATCTTTATTTTTTAATTCAAACATTTTTTATTCTCTTTTTTATAGACTATTTTTATCTGATGATTTCAGGGTTTATACTTACACCAAAGGGGGGGCTGTTCATTCTGATTTCCCACATATTAAGGTAAGATTTAATTACCGGTACTTTGTTTTGCAGCTTCTTAGCTTTTTCAGAACAGAGTTGCTGTTAGAAATACTCTCTGGGGATTTTACATTTTTTTAAGTATCAGAAAACCTCTCCCTATCTTTACTTATTTATTGCTGACATTCTACTAATCCTGGCATGAGATTCTTCAAGGAAACATTCTCTATGGAGAATTAACAATAAGATTAATTATTTCAAGTTTATTTTGGTTGGCTAATTAGCAACTTTTTCAAGAAAATGACTAGTTAGACTGAAATGTGCTTACAGTAGTTAACTTGCAGAATGGACATTAAAGGAGCAAACATATCACTTGTGCTTAAACTCATAGGGGAAGGCCAGGACAGGAAAATTGAGGATTTTCTACTGTCCTGTACATTTACCATCGGTAATGTTTAGATCCTCCATCACAAACTGTCCTCCACAGATGCTCTACTCCAGGATTTAGCTGAAGCTGGTGTCACACTAGCTGCCTTTTCTCCTAATGTAATCCATTGCTTAACTTATTATGATTTCCTCACACAAGCTAATGTGCTTTTTCTGAAAACAACAGGAGTTGAGGAAGTGCAGCATACTTCCGGATGGGTCCCTTAATTCCTTCTCTCAGAGTGCTTTATTGTGGTCTACAGGGTGGATCTGTGAAAGGATCCCAAGAGGTAGAAAAGTGGGTCACTAGTTGTTCTCCCATTGGGTCATCTCATCTAGATGCATGCCCTTCCCTCACCTCCATTTAATTTTTAAAGTGTATAATCTTTTTCCTTTCTCATCAAGACTCTTTTGTTTACTGGTTTGGCGTCTCTCGAAAGCTTCTTATTCCCCTTCCCTCTCTGTTCTTTCATTCCTACTCTTTTTCTGCCTTTTTTCCATCATTGGTGATTTTACCCTCTTTCCTCTGTTTTCTCTTTTAATCACTATCCATAGGCTCAGTCTTCTTCCCTCCCTGTGCCCCACACAGGGAAGGGGTTGCCTCAGGTGTGGGTGAGCATCCCCTTCTGACTCGAGGTAGAGCAGTGGTGGGCAACCTGCGGTCCACTAGCCGCACGCAGCCCGTCAGGGTACTCCGTTGGCGGGCCGCAAGACAGTTTGTTTACATTGACCACCCACAGCTCCCAGTGGCAGTGGTTTGCCGTTCCCGGCCAATGGGAGCTGCAGGAAGCAGCAGCCAGCTTGCGCTGCTTCCCGCAGCTCCCATTGGCTGGGAACGGCGAACCGCAGCCACTGGGAGCTGCAGGCGGCCGTGCCTGCAGACAGTCAATGTAAACAAACTGTCTCGTGGCCCGCCAGCGAACTACCCTGACGGGCCACAGGTTGCCCACCACTGAGGTAGAGTATGATGTTTGGCTGTTCCTTCTGCAAAGTAGAGCAGGAAATAGACGAGAACTGTGAGCAGTTCCAGCAGTTACAGGGCCTTTGCTATGAATACCACTTAGGAATTAGTGCTCAGCTTTTGTCTGAGGGCGGGAAAAGAGAGCCATGCATTGCTTAGCAATATAACAGACAGACGCATGCTGTAGGAGAATCTCAGAGCAAGGGCAAACCGGGCTTGGCCATTTGCTGCAACCCAGCCTTTGTGATGGGGTGGATCTTGAGAAACCATCTTTCCAAATTTAGAGATCTATCTGGGAGCATAGAGCTTAGGATCTCTAAAGAATTACCTGGAAACTATCACTGCCTCCTCCCTTCTAAGCCATTTTGTATGTCTCTGATAGAAATATAAGAATGAAAAAGTGGGGGCCAAGATGCAATCATAAGGGCAAATCCAGTCTTTTCCATACAGATACAGAGTATTCTTGTGCATTGGTACTGGCATTTCTGGTGTGGAAGAGATCAGGTGTGTGGACGTTAGGGGGCTGCATAGGACGTGCTGGGCCCTCTGTGTCACTGAACCCTTCTACATGTGAGCCCCCTATGCATCAGTGCTGAAGGTGGGGAGGAGGCCAGGGTGAGTATGAACATGCTGGGGAGTGGTCTGGGGGGGTCTGCAATGCAGATCTTCCCAACTCCTTTCTCCTATCCTACCGGGGAAACATGTAAAGGCCTTGCATAGACTACTTTAGTCATTAGGATGAAGTATCGTATGCAGAACAGCTGTGGAGCCACTCTTTAGCCTTGGGGAAAGGTTCTTCCTCCTATAGTCCCTCACTCGTCTCTCCAGCTCCCTGCCTAGTTACTCTGGCGGGCACTGACCTCAGATTTTGAGTCATAATACTGAGATGTGTTCTACCGCCACACTTCTATTTTTAGATGGTTTCAAATTCCATACAAGTGTCTGTGGAAGCTCCAAAATGTATAGATGTGGAGATGACCTGGTTGGAGAACTATACTTACTGATAAGCAAGCTATTCATTTTTCTTTGATTTTTTAATTTTTTTTATTTAGGCTGATTGCTATTACCAAGGGTATATTGCAGGCTTTCCCAATTCACTTGTGACACTCAGCACCTGCTCTGGGCTCAGGTAATGAAATATTTTAATATAATTAATTATAATAAAACCTCTAGTAAAATTCAGTATCCCAGATACTACTGTGTGGTAACAGTTGGAAAATGGTGACTTTTTAATGGTGCCCACTATACATAGTATCTAACATTTAAGGTCTCAAGCTGATGGCAGATTAATTCAGATCATTTTATAACTTTATGTAACCTGCACTGTTTGCTTTTTCAGAGGGCTATTGCAGTTTGAGAATGCTAGCTATGGAATTGAACCCTTGGATTCTTCACCTGGGTTTGAGCACATTATTTATCAAATAAAGAATGAAAACACTCAGAGTCCACTTTTTGCAAACAACTACACTGATATAGGGAGAGAAAAGGTGACAGGAAAGGTGTCTTACAAGCTGCATACAGATATTGAAGTGAGTGCCGCTTTTTATCATAATGGTAGAGATTATGTCTAACCTGAAATCTAGGGCACAGGAAATGCACTGTGATGGTCTTGAATCTGGATTTAATTTTTAATTATGTCATTGATATGCAGAAACTGGGCATATGAAAGTCATTACTTTGATAAGAAACAATAGTACTGGGAATAAGTTATTCATAAAGAAGTGTGATCCATTAGCCTGAACATGATGCTCTGTGTCACCACGGTATCTGCAGACACAATGTTGCCCAAATTGTATCTCAGTCGGGATGGCTTTAGCCACACATGCACAGCTCAGGCCTCAGGCGTTTGAATGAGGATAACTCCTGTAAATCTCCCTGATTAGAGTCTCCCTGTCAGCATTAAACTGCAGGTCTAATTTTTACTTGCAAATGTAAACAGTCATGCCTTATTTTTGGCTCCCTACTTCTACTTTAAGTACTCACTCTCGATGCCCTTCCACCGTGACTTGATTAGAGGATGGATTTTCAATCCTGGCCTTCCACAGAAGAAAATCCCTCTCCTAGAACTTCATGTGTAGATCCTGTTTGCTGGGTCAAAGAAGGTATTGAGGACCACAGAGACAACAGACAAGATGTTGCTGGTGCCAGTGGTTGAGAGTGGAGAGTGACTGGAGGGACATTTAACTATCCTACCAGAGAATTGGTGGCATTTCAAAGGGCAAAAATAAGACCCAAATGGCACAGGAGGCATGAAGTTCTCCAGAGATGTTTGAGGTTTAAGGCCTTGGTCCCCCAGAAGCTTCCATTGGACAAGGGAGACCAATTCATAGAGTGGAGTGGGAGGGAAATTATTTTTGATTGAGACTAAAATTTGGCATCAGAATGTCTGATTTTTCACTTTTCAAGAATCTGGAAAGTGATGGCATTTGGCTGGTTTGGTCAGCTGTGCATATTACTTCTGTGGCTCCTTGGTTCAGAAGTTTTGCTAATAATGAAGAGTTAGGCCGGGTCTACACTATGAGTTTAATTCGAATTTAGCAGCGTTAAAGCGAATTAACCCTGCACCCGTCCACACAACGAAGCCATTTATTTCGAAATAAAGGGCTCTTAAAATCGATTTCTGTACTTCTCCCCGACGAGCGGAGTAGCGCCGAAGTCGATATTGCCATTTTGAATTAGGGTTAGTGTGGCCGCAATTCGATGGTATTGACCTCCGGGAGCTATCCCACAGTGCACCATTGTGACCGCTCTGGACAGCAATCTGAACTCGGATGCACTGGCCAGGTAGACAGGAAAAGCCCCGTGAACATTTGAATTTTATTTCCTGTTTGCCCAGCGTGGAGAGCACAGGTGACCACAGAGAGCTCATCAGCACAGGTAACCATGCAGGCCGATAATCGAAAAAGAGCACCAGCATGGACCGTATGGGAGGTACTGGATCTGATCACTATATGGGGAGAGGATTCAGTGCTAGCAGAACTTCGTTCGAAAAGACGAAATGCCAAAACTTTTGAAAAAATCTCCAAGGGCATGATGGAGAGAGGCCACAATAGGGACTCAGATCAGTGCCGCATGAAAGTCAAGGAGCTCAGACAAGCCTATCAAAAAACAAAGGAGCAAACGGTTGCTCCGGGTCAGAGCCACGGACATGCCGCTTCTACGCCGAGCTGCATGCAATTCTAGGGGGGCCGCCACCACTACCCCACCTCTGACCGTGGATTCCGAGGCGGGGGTAATTTTATCAGCCACACCTGAGGATTCTGTGGACGGGGAAGAGGAGGAGGAGCTTGCGGAGAGCACACAGCACTCCGTTCTCCCCAACAGCCAGGATCTTTTTCTCAGTCTGACTGAAGTACCCTCCCAAGCCAGTATCCAAGACCATGACCCCATGGAAGGGACCTCAGGTGAGTTTATCTTTTAAAATATAAAACTTGTTTTAAAAGCAAGCGTTCTTTAATGATTACTTTGCCCTGAGGACTTGGGATGCATTCGCGGCCAGTACAGCTACTGGAAAAGTCTGTTAACGTGTCTGGGGATGGAGCGGAAATCCTCCAGGGACATCTCCATGAAGCTCTCCTGGAGGTACTCCAAAAGCCTTTCCACAAGGTTTCTGGGCAGTGCAGCCTTATTCCGTCCTCCATGGTGGGACACTTGACCACGCCATGCTAGTAGGAAATAATCTGGTATCATTGCATGACAAAGCCTGGCAGTGTATGGTCCCGGTGTTTGCTGGCATTCAAGCAACATCCGTTCTTTATCTCGCTGTGTAATCCTCAGGAGAGTGATATCGCTCATGGTAACCTGGTTGAAATACGGGAATTTAATTAAGGGGACAGAGGTGGCCGTTCCTACTGGGCTGTTTGCCTG